AATGATGTTTAAGTTTCGCAGATAAACTTCGACGATTATCTCCATCCTGATATCAAAAGAGCAGAAGTGTCCTCGGAGGTCGCGGTCTGAGGAGTACCCTGGGCCGTGCTAGGTGAAAGGTACCGTTTTTCAGAATGTTGTGAGATGACCTGTTCTCCCTGTTTCAATACGCCAAAGTAATGATAGCTAAGCTATCCAGAAAAGCATCCAATGGAAACATAATTTCAGTTCACTTCGAGAACTTCTGTTGGTGGCCAATTTTGGTATGCGATAGATGGAGCACTGAAGTAAGTCAAAACATCAAACTTTCCAGCTTCCTAGGAAGCAGCCAACGTTGTAAGTGATATGTTATACACAGCTTCGAATGAATCCGTGTTTGGAAAGTGACTGATTCGCATTACGATCGCTAAGCATTAAAATCTTCATAACGTAAACGCTCAAAAAAGATGCTGCGCTTGTTATGTGTATGTAATGCCCGTTATATGCATGTTTAAATGCGTCATGGTTGGGCGATGGCGACATTTCGAGTAAATCATCAAAGAAGGAAATGATTTTAAAAATATTGCTCATTCTTCTTTGGCACGCGCCCGGGTCGCCGGCTAGATACCCTTCGCTCGGGTGGGGGGGGGGGGGGGCAAATTGACTCCCCTGAGATCTCGGGAACAAAGAAAGCTAGAAACACCAAATTTACAGAGTGTGTTGACCTGTACGTTAACTCAATTAGGTCAAAGGTTCAGGTTCCTAGGTCATGACCTTCGGGCCAAAAAGGTCAAGCAAGGTCAAGTTCCAGGTTGGTCTCCAAAGTGCCCTCGGAACCTAGATAACCGTTTCTAAGCAAAAGCTCACACTCTCATTTAAGGCCAGTGACCTTTTAAAGGTCAATGTGACCAAAATCATACAACATTGCCTTAAGGTTTGCATTTGACCAAGCGACAAAGATTACGCTAGGCAGCATGCTCCTTACACAAAATGTTGACCCAGGTCAGTTCAGGTCAATGACCTATTCTGACTTCTAAGAAGTCCTTGGAATATGTATAATGCGGTTCCTGCTATCAATAAACTCGAAATGGGCACCAAAAACCATCCCATACAGCAAACCTAGAGTAATAAAATAAGATGGTTTTGACCTTGGTGTGACCTTCATAACTGACCTTAGGTCAATGTAATTTGCTCATTCAACTGTTGTGTTGCCTAAGAAAGCATCTCAGATACGTATGGCCTCCTCTAACACGCCGTTGTTGGATCAGATTGAAGGATTCCCTAGAAATTGCCTTCGCTGAAACCATGGTCTGACTTTAACCTGCCATAGGTCAACGACCTTACAGTGTACATTTAAATTGTTATGCCAAAGGATCCGCTATTTAATTGTCTATAGCTGTGCTAAATTTGGCGCGGCTACACCTCGCCGTTCGGAAATTTATTCTGGAAAAACCTTCGGGAGTCAATTTGACCTCCACCCGAGCGCGTGTTGAGAAGATGACAAAGATAACCAGGGCAAGACGCAATCTGCCAGTAAAACGTCCGTTGTGCTTGAATGCTTGAAGTGATTGCACTGACCGCAAAAAAAGTGAGCTGAAGACTTACTGAAACTTGCTGCATGCTACACATAAATTGTGCGTGTTTCCTCTAGATACTGTAAACAATTATGCTTGCTTGGTCATTGGCACGGGTCATATGGAAGGGAGACAAAGAGCGAACACGGGATACTACGAAGACAGCATTGTTTCAGTCCACGACGTCACGACCGAGAACGGATTGTTAGGTGGCAGTAATTCAGCTGTTCGGGATTTGCTGTTGGGTGATTGGGATCCCCTTACCATCCGGTCGCCTGTCATGTAAGGTGTCAAGCAACTCAAGCGAACCCAAGTCACCAGCACCAGCGTGTCCCTGGTGGTTAATAAAGCGGCGGCAGTTTGTCCGAAATGTCAACGAGGCAATACTGCTGTTTTTCATGCCAGCCGATGTGAAGTGCTCTTTTTTGAAATATCGGTGAATGCGCAGGCAAGATTGATTTTCCATAGATCAGTTCAAACGATCATTTTGTCTGGCCTCACTTCCTGTTAGTTTGTCGGCAAAATATCCTCATAATGACCCACTGACCGTTATTCAAAATTGGGCAAATGATCACACTAACCATGGACCTATCAGCTAAAGTTGTTGGGATTTCCGTGTTAAAGCAGTTGCGTGTCGAGTCATAAGGTACGTTTCAAAGGCAGCTTCTGTGGGTCGATCTTGTTTGGGTGGCCTAAATTTATGGGTGGATCCTATTCATGTGAAACTAGATATTTTTGTGCTTGTACTAAAAATTCTAAGTAAAGAGATGAAAATCTCGGTAAACCGGAAGATCGTCAACACCGCGGAATAATCATGCATTATTAGCACCCTCTGGTGAAGGAAAATATTTTTGTGCGAATTCAAATAGAAATGGAAAATCAAAATGAAAATGTAGGCCGTAAAACCTAATAGTCCCAGCTTCACTTTACTGTGGGATGGAATTGCACTCCCATTAAGCAGAACGTGGGCCCTTAGCTTTGAAAAAAGTCTTAAGGGGATCAGGACTGGAGAGGGCACACATTCATTTCGGTAATAACTAGAGAGCAGCTGTAGCATTCCCATTCTTCGTGCTGAAAACTTCGCCTGGAAATGCATGTCCCATCACCGTCTTTACATTTCCTGCCTGTCTCCAGAGGTCCTCAAATTGGATGTCTTGTAATGTAAGGAAGGCGTGGAACACTGGCACTGACCGGCATTGACGTGTGCGTATCTCTAACATGACTCTCACAGCACGTGCGGTGGACCCACTGAAGAAATCGACCTCGGCCGCGAACGCCGCGTGAAGCTAGCGCATATCTTATAGTGTATATAAACCTCATTTTGAGAACTCAGTCGAGGGATTCTCCACGACCACATCAGTGAAAAGTCAAACAACCGCAACTTTGACCGAGGCTCAGAGTGCGTAACATTGCATTAGAACCGGCAATGAACGCTAGCTGGCGACTTCTTTGGTCAGCTTGTGATGTTTTCACATGGTCATGTCTACTTCCTTTCGTCGTGTAATGAATCACGGTCCATATGTTCGCATAAGAGGGAAACCCCGAGCACTACGTGTAGTCGTGTGTCATAGGCAGGATGCAAGGAAATGACAGTGAGATAGTGGCAATATCCGTTGTTTTCTCCCGTCCAGAAGTTTGGCGTTTCAGCTCCTTTGACATCGGCCTTCGCAGACCAGAAAAGTGTAGCTAAGAGTGGGAGGCATTATTTCATCGGTTCGTTTGGGTGTTTACACATTTGGGCTACCGTTGTTACGTTGGCCAAACTGTGTAATGATCAGCATGTTAAGTGAGAGGAACACATGCTTACTGACATTTATTTCAATTAATTATTTCGACGATGCTCAACCCTCCAACGGCAACGTTTCATCCTTTGATGCACCGCCCCAGAAAAGGCTCAAATCAAGGAACGCAATTTCCCAACAAGTCGTGTCATCTGTCCTACTGTTTGCTCCATGCAGACCAGTTTGAGACATCAGCTGTTGCGCCAATTCGGGCATGTCATCTTTCCTTGCTCTTGGCTGCTGTGCACGTTCCGTATATCCAGCTGCCACCAGTTTCATCTGGCACAAGGCGTGCATGCCGACCTGTCCTGCGCAGCGACTCCGACTGAGCCCCTCCGAGGAAGCGGAAAACACGTGACGGCCTTCTAGCGCTTCTGGAAAGCACGCTAAATCGGGATGCTCGCCGAGAGTTGCCCGGCGCTAAGCCGCCGGCGTAGCCAGCTGCAGCGTCGCAGTACCTGCCGAGACGATCAGGCGATATGCGCGTATGAGTTCGAAGAGCCTGCCTATGAACCAACATACTGCGACTGCTCACCGGCGACTTCGTGACGCATGGTGTGGTCAGCGCCTTTGGAGACTTTGGTATGTATGCAACACAACACTATCAGGGCTTATGTCGTTCTTGCTTGACTGGTGCAGGTAAAAAGCCACACTCTTACGCCACACACGAATGTTCTTACGTGCTACGTAACGTTATTGACTTGCAAATTCGAAGTGTTCGGACTATATTGCGATTGTTGATGACACGAAACGTTCCTGCTGACGTGATGCAAGATCACTAAATCAAGAGAGGCGTCAATGCTAGGTTAAAAGCCCAGGTGAAGTGACTTTTTATGGAAAGAAAATGTAAGACACGAGACATAGGCGAGTCCGAGCAACCGTATATTCACTGTTTGTGAGTCTTTTGGCTGGCAGTTCTCTGCGACGAGCAGTCCAAGTAATCGCACTTAGATAGCGCGGAAATTTAAAAAGTCTTCTTTAGATTGCGAGAGACACCGGCAAGTAGCAGAGGATCACATTCGCCTGCCCGGGAAACCCTTCATTTCTTGACAAAAGACCGTGACGTCAGCCGGAGCACGCTCTACATAGTCTTCTATGGGCTACCCCAGGGCGTGTTTCTGTGTTCCGCACGTGCCTTTTCAAACACTATCTCAAAATGCTGATACGTGCAGTTGTGTCGTGTTTGAATGGTCAAGCGGCTGCTCAACTGACCAACGGCATCATGATCGTGCAAGTTTTGGACTCTTCCTCCGGATTTCACCGTCGGTGTGTGGAATGACAATGTTCGATGCAAAGCCGCACCGGGATCTGAACGTTGTGGGAAAGACTGTGGTGTGGAGGTGACAAGGCGCGTTGCAGGACAGACCTACGCAAGAGCCGCTGCTGTCCCACCGGAGACGTATTGAGGGATGTCACAACCATGCGACTGCGCACACCGCGCTCGTCCGTCCGTCATAAGCGGACTCGTCCGCTTTGTTGGAACACAGCACGCGTCAGAGCGACATGCAGGCCCAGTGTCCTCGCTGGTGGAGGCGACTGCGATTTCAGGAACTCGGGCCGCTCCGCTCGCGCTGCCCGGACGGAGCCGGGCGCTGGAAATCCCCCCTCCCCCTCCCCAACACCCGAACGGCGCCGGCTGCGGGACGGCTGGGCGGTAGTCGCTGGCCTGCGCTGGACGGAGAGGGGTTGGGATGAGGTCTCGCGAGCAGAGGCACCTCACAACGGAGCTGGATGCTACGTTTGAGTGCACAAAGGTGAGGATTCGGGATAGCGGCGCGCATGCGCTCTGTACCGAAACTGTTGCCCTGTAAGATGCAACTGCGCCTGTAGTCCCGTTCACAGGACATCGGGTGTACCAACAACGTTCTTTTATTTTGATTTCCTAGAACAGGGAATTTCCCGATATTATGTTTTCTACAGCGGTTTTCAACCCCAAGGAATCAAGATCGCCCGAAATGTGCACGCGTTTTCGCTTTATCCTCGCCCACTAGGTTAAAACTTTACATAAAAGAAACATCACCAGCTACTGCTGGTCTCCCACTCGGCCCGTATTCATGTCCAAACCCTGCCGATTTATGACGTCGTTAAAGGGAAACCTGCTGCAAAATGGACGTCGCCACATTGATTATGAGGCAATTCCGCAAGTTTGTTCGCGATTACTTGCAATATTTCGGAAGGTTGGATTTTTTTATGCTGTCAGTAGGTTAATTAATGTGTTTGACGAATCGTAATGCAATGGTTGCAAATGTTCAATGTTCAAATGCAAATGTTCAAAAATGGTTGACTTTCTGAACCTTGCCGCCTGATCTAGAACAACGGCTGCAGCCTCTGCACGTCTTAGAGTAATGATGATGCTACAGATGCTCCGTAAATTGAATTGCTGTAATTGGCATTGTCAGCTGTTCGCTTGATTCTATAGCTCGTCTCCAGGCTTGTGAGACTAACTGAAATATCATCTACGATACGAAGACGTGGCATGTGTTTTTATGCGGGTCTTGCGGTAGCGCAGTCCCTGGTCTTTAAGCACCATTGGCTCGCAAACGATGAGATTAACTGAGATGGTGCGGACTGCCAGTCTGTATACCGTGTTCCAGCTGTATATATTTCGGCAGTGGCGGCGCGTGGAGGCCTGCGTATGCCGCCCGGCCCCTCCACCCAGCTGAGCCCCGAACCATTCCCAGATGCTGGACTGTCGCATCAGCCAGGCCGCGGACGCCTCGTGGGCCTGCTGCGAGACTCCGCCGACCGGCCGCGAGACTCCGCGCGACGCCCGCTCGCCTTCCGTCCGCTCCAGCTCCTCCTGCTACAACGGCCGCCGAATGAGCGATCCACCGTCGCCCTGCGGCCCGCGCAGCTACCGCGACGACGACTCTGACTACGACAGCGACGCCTCGGGCGAGTACGAGCCCCTGCGAGATTCCGAGGTCAGCCTGCTCACTTCGAGGGCCAGCACGCCGCCGCCGCCGCCGCTGCCGCCGCCGCGACCTCGCTGCGCCTCGCTGCACGAGCTGAAGGTGCCCGTGCTCCCAGTGCAGTTCGGCGCGCCGCCGCAGACGAGCGTCAGCCTCGGTGACCTCAGTGCTCGGCCGGCCGCGCCGCCGGCCGAGCCGCGGCGCAAGGACCAGCGCCGTTTCCTGGGCCTGAGCGTGCCGGCATCTCCCCACCGCTTCGGTGCACTCTGGCGTCGCTGGACGGAGCGACCGACGCGCGCCGTGGCCGCGGCGCCGTGCCGGGAGCTTAACAAGTCGCTGCCGAACCTGGCGCTGGCCGGGCTGACGACGGGCGCGCTGGGCGGCGCGCGCACGACCATTCCCAGCCCGCGCGCCCGCTCGCCGTCTCGACATCGCGTCTCACCCGGCGCGCTTCACCGGGCGCTGAAGAAGGTGCAGGCGAAGGCGCTGCGACGGGGTCGGCCTGGCGCCGTCCGCTCCCTGCTTCCGCAGGAGGACGACGGGCCGACGCTGGTCGCCCTCGGCCGGCTAGACAGCCACGGAGCGCCACAGCCGGCCGTGGCGGACGACGCCGCTGAAACCGGACCTGGCGCGTCCTTGTCCGGTCGCATCGCCCACTCGCCGGCGGATGTCAAAAGCCGCGGCGCCGAAACCCCGACGTCACGCCTTCCGCGCCGCTGCCCCGAGCCAGGGCAACGCCTCGTCCCGGACATTGTGGTGGACCCACCGGCGCAGTCAGAGGACCGCGGGTCCTCATGGTGGGACCAGGCGGACCACGGGTCCTCATGGCGGGGCCACGCGGACCGCGCGCTTCCGGACATCAGCGTGTCGCCGCCGGCGCCGGCGCCCGCCGACGAGTCCGACTACATGACGATGGCGGCAATACGCGACATCCTGTCGGCCCCGAGTCCGCCGGGCGGCCTCAGCGTCCCGGACGCCGGCTCCGGGACCTCCTCGCCCCGCGGCGAGCCCGACTACCTGGACATGGCGGGCATCGCGCGGCTACGGACGGCGTTTGCGCGGCCGACGCGGCCCGCGCGCGCACCGCCCGTCGAGCGGTTCGTCGGAACGCGAGGCAAGGCCTGCGCTGCCGGCGAGTACGCCAACCTGGCCGACCTGCGGCGCGCACTGCGCGAACTGCGCGGGGCAGACCGACAAGTCATCGCGGAGGATGAATGAGATAGCGGTTGCCGGCCGGACGCCGTCCGTCCGCCGGCCGCGGAGAATCCAGACGACGAGTTACGTAACCTTGAGAGTGACGTCGCGTGCCGGCGTGGGTAATCCTCGGGACGCGGTGACCAGGCGGCGGCGGCATCGCTTGCTGTCGCGGTCTGGAATGGAAGCTTCGTTGGTCCGTTGCGCCGGTAGTGCCTGGGGGTTTACCGAATTGTTTTTGTACAGTGGAGTGGTGGGATGTGGTGGGATGTGGAGTGGTGGGACGTGGGATGGTGCGGGCTCGGGAGTCAGTCAACGAATGTGATATGTGTCGCGGTATTGTTAAGGGATACGCATGTAACACATCTAAACGTGTAAACTCATCAGCGTTGGGTAATACAAGACGATGACTAATAATGGTCTCACTCATGAATGACTTCAGTGGTTTGAAGCAGGGCACACTGCGTGGACGCGTTCGCAGACCCTGTCGCCAGGGGCAGCGCAGCGGGGAGGGGGGGGGGGGGCAGAGAGGTAGTTGCCCCTTTTTCTGCCGGCAGGCAGAGGGAGGCAACAGTATGTTGTGCCTCCCCCTCTCCCTCCAAAAAAGGACGCCGTCTTCGAAAAGCGAAAGTATTGTGGCTTTCCGTAGGGTGCCAACATTTTGATCAAAGAAGCCCCATAACTGAGCAAGAAGAGTAATAAATATGGCTCAAAAAACCCTTTGCTAAATCAAGGGACCCGTTTTCTGGGTGATGAGGTTATCTTCACGAATAATGTAGCCAATCTTCAAGATCGGAGGGCCCAATGTTGTTTTAAGCAGGCTTTTTTGCTGGTTTAGGAGGCCCCCGTTACAGTGTAGTCGACCTTTGTTCTGGGTTCGGAGGCACCCTCTATATTCAGGAGGCCCCATTTCCGGACCAGGAGGCCCCTGTTATGCAACAGATGGCCGCGGTTCCGGACCAAGATGTTCTGTGTTGGGATAGCGAGGTCTCCTGGACAGACTAGGCTGCCCACTTGGTGTATCGGAAAAATTCTGCTCATCATTATGCGCTTCTCTTTGCATTGGAAGACTTTTCTGGAACAGCAGACCTCGTTTAAGCTGGCGAGTCCCTTAGCTGAATCACTAGAAGGGTCATTCTGAATTATTGTTAAACTGTAGACATTTATTTGCTGGTATGTGGTATGAGTAACTGTTCGATGACGCGGCCAATACCCTCGTTGTCTTTCCGCTGAATGCAACACTGCGCAAGGATTTATGAGGAGGTCGTGTTGGCTCCTGGCTGCCATCCGGAAAATCCTCCCCCCCCCCTGCCCCCGCTCCCCAAGTCAAAATCCGTTGTGCTGCCCCCGTCTATCGCGCGCTGGAGTGGATATCTGGAATATATATATATAATATATATATATATATATATATATATATATATATATAATGCGCATCATAGGGAAAATTTGGGTGATTTGCATCATGTTTGAGTACTAGCAGGGTGATCAATTCCCAATCTAAGCCACGCATGTCTTGAGTCTTGAGTAGGTGATGAGTCACTCAGCTGACGCACAGCACCCGCTCTACACTTCAGCGTACTTCCGGCCACACACGTGCATGCCACTGGGGGTGAAAGCGACACAAATGTTATAACTTCCTTTGATGCAATTTCCCCAGCGTGGAGAAGTTGTCTCATTTGAAAGGTCATTTGAAAGACATTTGCCTAAAAACGATGACGTCCTCCCCACAACTTTACTGCTACATACAAAGGTGAATGTTACAGATGTCTGCTGATATAGGAACTTCAATCCTATCCTCACTAGCTACAGCAGGAAGAAGCTCAGAGTAAAACCTGAAGCTACTCTTCTTACTCTCCCCCAATACACTTGCATTTGTGGGCACTGAAGCACACAATTAGTCGTAAAAAGCCTAGTAAACACCTTTCGAATTACGCCGCCCCAGTCTCCCCCCCCCCCCCCTTGGCTCAAGCCTTAAGAGTCTTTAACTCGTATCGCACACAGCAACACCAGCCAGACGACCAACAGGTGACCTCGGTGTGTGCTCAGATGTGCCCGGCAAGTGACCTTGACGTGTGCTTGAATATGCCCTGCAAACTGACCCGATGTGTGCTCGGATGTGTCCAGAAAACGATCTCGGTATGTGCTCGGATGTACCCGGCGGGTAACCTCAGTGTGTGCTCGGATGTGTGTGGCAAGTGATCTCGGTATGTGCTCAGATGTGCCCGGCAAGTGACCTCGGTGCGTGTTCGGATGTGCCCGGGTAGGTGACCTCGGTGTGTGCTCGGACATGCCCGGCAAGTGATCTCGGTATGTGCTCGGATGTGCCCGGGTAGGTGACCTCGGTGTGTGCTCGGATGTGCCCAGGTAGGTGACCTCGGTGTGTGCTCGGATGTGCCCGGGTAGGTGACCTCGGTGTGTGTTCGGATGCGCCCAGGTAGGTGACCTCGGTGTGTGTTCGGATGCATACCTGTATCCTGCGACCTTGCACTGGTGCGAGTTCCGTCATTAGCATATTACTAGGACAACAGCGCGCCAGTGTACACAAATGTTTTGCATGGGGAGGGTTCAGACGGATTGCAATCGTCATACATGTCACGAATTCATGATGCATGAGAGATTTACCATACGTTGAGAGAAGACTAACGTGCGTGACACTGGTGCATTGCTTTGACCTGGTCTTCGAATTCCGCGTTTAAAAACTCAGCAGGAATTGAGCTATGGCTGTTATGTTGCTTGATGTTGTTACTTATGTTGAGTGTTGAAGGACGTCGGAGCCGGGGCTGTTTCCCTTCAACAAAAACACCGTTGAATGCGATGTTCCGAGTTGGTAACCATCAAGAGACAAATCACATCAAGAGGCAAACCGTAAACGACCCTAAATCTTTAAGTTCAATATACCAATAAAATAAAAGTTACCTCTAGAAATATAAGCGGTCTAAATCCGGTGGACTATTCCGGTGAAATATCTTTAACCGTCAAAAAAGAACCTGAAAATAAATTAGCCGAAATCCGTGGCATTCTCTTTGAGCGGGGGGGGGGGGTGGGGTGGGAGAAGAGCACCAAGTTTCAGGGACACCGCAATGAGGCGTGGCCCCTTCCTTGACGAAGTTTTGCATCCGCCTTAGCCATAACGCGCGATTTTCTCAAATGTTTTCAATTAGATCGAGTTGTTGATAAGACAAAGTTAACGTCCCAACTTAATCCGACTGTGGCTATTTGTTGTGACATACCATGGTTAAAAACATTCATAAAATTACTTCGACACACCATGACCAGCGCATAACAAGAAACACTACGCGTTGCTCCTGAGTTTTTCAACCCGTACTATCAACCTGAGCTAGCTCAAGACATTCTACACGCCCGCCCGCCCGCGTCCCGTTCGTTAACACTGCCATGGACCCGTCAGATCCACCCAACCATGCAAGATAAGACACGGAAGCACCGAGTACCCGTCCCGAAAAGAAGTTCCTCAACTGGGTCAGCTCAGTGCACCCGGCCCGCCCCGACGTCGGCCGCACGTCAGCGGGTCAGGCTGTTGCCGCGTGACCCCGAGCCATAAACACGCCGTTGCCGGGGCCGGGCGGCGGCGCCGAGCCGGGCCAACCCGGCACAAACATGTTGTCGGAAGGGCCCTGGTTTACACGCGGAGTGACGCGCTGCCGGCCGGCGGTGGCGCGGTGGCATGCGGTCCGCCTTGAGATGGGACGCAGTCGTTCCCCGGGGACGTCCGGCACGGTTGTCAGGGGTCTGCTGGCTGGATCTCGGCCGCCAGATATGTGCCAGAACTGCCGAGATTCGCCGCTTTTTGCAAGAGGCTGCTCGTTTTTGTGTATCGCACGCGCGCTAAGCATGACGTACATAAAGTGTTGAAGGATATCAGCTGCCAAACTATCGATGTCCGCATCGCCTTCCCTACGGAGTAAAACACGGGAGCGACAAGGTCTTTAAGGAGTTTCTCTCCACACAATGCCACAGGCGTCGTGGTAAATTCCTGGAAAGCCGAGGAGACGCCCCACCCCCTCCCTGACGAAAATCCTACGAATATCTAAACAAGCAATCTTGGTGCATCTAACACCAATGGAAGAGTGGTAAAAGTGGACACACGATCCATGGTGTTACAGGTCCGACCGTGCGATCGATAATCGTGTGTCAATGTCCTGCAATCATGCTCTTGTGGACGGTGGGAAAGTTTTATCGCATAAAATGGTTTATTGCGTGATTTAAAACGCGTCTTGGGGCACGCTTAAAGGTGCATGCCATATTGTTTGTGCCTTTCCTTGCTTGTTACATCATGTGTGTCCGCCTTGATCGGTAAAGCCATTTTTTCTCGAAATCCATTAGAATTTTTCCGAATTCCGATTCGAAATAGCCGCTCCTGTGGCAAAAATCTCCTGGGAGTACCTGCACACAACTATGAAAGTAATCAACTACGTTTGCCTCGACTTGCCAGCGTATGTTGTTCAATGATTGCAGTAAACTAAGCTGTCAAAATGATTGTGCAATAAATGCTACGAAGGCTTGAAACGCTCTTCTTAGGGAAAAAGATACGTGGACAGGAGAATCTTATCCCACAAATTCAACGACACGTTATACTATGGCTTTGATTTCTTTCCTCTGGAATATAGCTCAGTGGCTCTTTCGAAAAGCACTATTGCTTTGGGAAATGGAGTATCACATGGTTTATTCTAACACACTAGTTCAAATTCGGAAGCAAGGACAGCGATGGCCTAGGTCGTAGTTTCTGTAAAACCGAAGGGCGTTGGCCACTGCAAGTAACTTTAGGCGGCGGGCGCCGTGCGCGCGCGAGCGACTGTTGTGAAAGAAAGGCTTCGCGTGTCTTTCCAAATTAATTCACGCCGTTCAAAGATTGAACTGGGCGTGTCATTTTCAAAATTTTGAGGCTGTCTCCTGGGCATATTAACAATGACAGCAACACGAAAATAGAGATTCTACCTTTACTATTTCATTGCCACCACCAGATGCAACATTTCGCAGTGCTGTGAAGACACCGTTTTTATCATCGATCTAGATATTGCACCGGTGAAATATACGCCTGGAGTACCTTGCAGTTGTAAGATTTAATGTTCTGGAGTATTCAGAGATGCTTCTTTCAGATGCGTTATCGTCTTCGTCTGCCCGTTGACCACGGCCTAGTGTTGGCCGCGTGGCCAACGCTGCGTGGCATACGGAGACTGCAACGCTTGGCGTGGAGTTTTTTGGTTCTAAGATTCGCGAGCGCACATGTTCAAAACTACATTACATAATTGGCATCAATGATGGATTCTGATGGAAAGTGGATTATTTTCTAGAGATTGATGACCCGATTCCGTCTATAACCTGCATTCGCGGGGTCCCTTATATCTCTGTAAAACCTAGATAAACATCTTGACGAACCTTCTGAGGTCAAACCG